CAAAGGACGATGCCACACATTAAATGAAGAGGTAATTCTTCATATTGATAATCATAATCATGTGATAGATGGTATAGAGGTCTTAAAAACCGAATGCCTAAATAACATTAAAAAACGGGCTATTGAGGTGACTGGTACACCTCAAAAAATTATAAGCATTGCAATAGCAGAGGGTTCCCCATCCCTTCATGCTGCCCTTCCGCCCATCACGTCAATAAAACGAACCATCCAGCGAGCTAGATCGCTCATGGAGTTCTCCATTACCTACCCCGACAAACAGTTATGATCTAGATTTACCTGATATCTATAGAAAAACATGTTCGGGGTTGTCATTCCTTCAATATGATAGCAAGCATCTGCTACCGGAACTACCAATAGCTACAAGAATTTTGATATTCGCCACTGCCCAAAAAACCTTGAGATTGATGGCGGAAAAGCAGTCACTGGTATGCGAGATGGCACGTTTAAGACAACCCCCTTAATTTTTACCAACTTTGGACCCTCCATGTCCTATATAATAAAACAGTTATACCCACAATTTTTGCGCTATTACCGGATAAAACCCAGATTACATACATAAGGGTCTTGGATGAGATAAAAAGATTACAAAACAATATAAATCCTATATCGGTAATGATCGATTTTGAGCAGGCTGAAATAAATGCCTTTACACATTCATTTCCATCGATAACAATAAGAGGCTGTTTTTTTCCATATGACTCAAGCAATTTGGAGGCACATCCAAAGTGATAGCGAAGTATTATCTCATTATTTAGATAGAGATGCGGGAAGTGATTGGTCTATAAAAATTAGACAAATGGTGTCACTTGCATTTGTTCCCGTGGAGGACATGTTTGATGCCTTTTATGGGCTATTACACACACAATTCTATCAAGACAATGAGAAGTGTCTTGGACAAAACTATGGACAAACTTATAACATATTACGAAGCCACCTGGATTGGCAAGATTCTTTATAATGGAGATAGACAAGAACCAAGGTTTCCAATTCCCATTTGGAATCAATACGCTGCTACATTGGAGGGAATCCCAAAGACAAATAATGCAGTTGAAGGTAATTTTTATTAAAAATTTGCTATCTTTTTAATCATTATTACACAATATTTTTTATAATTTACTTTGCAATTATTTTCTAAAGGTTGGCACAGAGCATTCTCATCTCTGCTATCATCGCACCATCCCTCTATTTGGAAATTTTTAGATGCTCTACGTTTAGAACAATCGTTAACCGAAGCAAAAATTGAACAATATATTTCTGATACGCAACCCCCGAGATCAAGAAAGGTGTATCGGGATACAGCTGAAAATATTATAATCTGACTATGTAAATCGCCCGATTAATGATTATTTAAGGGGGATCGCATATAATTTTAATTTACAAACAAATTATTGTTATCTATTTTTTTTAAATGTTCTTTTAAACATATTTTTGGCATGTTTTATATCATGTTTTATATAGTATATTTGTATTTTCTATAGTCATTTTATATATAAATAAAAAAATTGTGCGTTAATTCGTTTTTGATTATTTTATAATAGAAAAAATTAGTTAAACATAATATATATTTAAAATGATTAATAGAATTATTTTAAGGATTTTTAATAAATCTAAAAAATGAATCAGTCTTAATTTGAATTTTATTGGATCAACATTAGTGTTGTTAAACGTCCGATTTGGGTCGATTAAGATTTTTAGCCATAATAACATGTAAGATTAGAGATAAAAGTCCAAACTTTTCTTACATTTGGCTGCAAAAATCTCTCGCTTCCCATAATATTGGCTACTAATCAAAATAGGGGAGACTTGGGGTTAGGTACCGGGGCTTGGCAAACCACTTAATCTCATCTTAAAATTAAATACACCAGAATGTTAAAATTTTATCATAATATAGTTTTTATTAGTCAACGTCTATAGATAAATAAAATCTTTTGAAATAATTATTAAAAATTTTTATTTAAGAAATAAAATATTGATGAAGTTTTTATAATTTGGGTTATAATTTGGAAAGTTTTATGAGTATTTATTATATCCAGAAATTAGCAGGAGCTTGCTAAACCATACCCGTCAGTTATGGCAGTTAATAATGAAAAAAAATACAAAATGTTTATTAAATTAAACAAAATTAAGTTTCAATTTTTATATATAACTTGCCTTAATTTACCCGCTATTGGGGCTTGTTGGACAAAAATTGTTCTTTTACAAAAGGTAAAATTGCAAAAAAAAATGATTTATATTCTTAAAATTTTTTATAAGGAATTTTTATAGAGTATAGTTTTAGGTATCTAATCATATATTTTTTTATAATATCTAAAAAACCAGGAGCTATGTAGCCAATTTTATAAAAATCAGTCCCACTGACCCCAGTCTCCCCTACCTTATAATGTTCCAGCAAAGAAATCGGCGGTATAAATATTGGTTGTTAATTTATTTTATTGATAATACACATTTAGTAAATAAAATTGAGATTTTTTTGTAAAAAAAAATACGAAGAAATAATTAATATGACCAACATTCAAAATCATTTCTATTTAATCATCCTTTTTCATCCTTTTTTTTATGCTAATAAATTTATAATAAATTGCAACTGTATTAGATGAGCGCCGAAGATTGACGCCGCGCCGGGTCGAGCGTTGCGCTGAGATTGACGTTGCGCCGAATTGTCGCCGCGCCGGAATTGACGTTGCGCCGAGTTGTCGCCGCGCTGAATTGACTGTTGCGCCGAGTTGTCGCCGCGCCGGATTACGACGTTGCGCCGAGTTGTCGCCGCGCTGAATTGACGATGCGCCGAATTGACGCCGCGCGGAATTGTCGTGCGCCGAATTTTCCGCGCCGAATTGACGTGGAACCTATCGAAGATCCTCCTCCAGACGCCGTAGTCTGTAAGCTCGATTTTAAAAATGCTTTTAATTCTTTATCCAGAAAAACATTTTTGAACATTTTTTATAAAAAATTCCCAGTTTATGCAAGATTTATTGAACAGTCTTATGGCTGCTTGAACCCCTCTCAAATTCGGGGAATATACAATTCCTTCTGACGAGAGTGTTCAACAAGGAGACCCTTTGGGCCCTCTGATCTTTAGTTTAGGTATACATAACCTAGTTCATTGTCTAAAATCCTCTTTTAATTTAGATTTAAACATATGGTATCTAGATGATGGTACCATTTGCGGACCTTCTAAAAATATTCTTGCAGCGATAGAATATATAGAGAAGAATTCTCTAAACATAGGCCTTACTCTAAATAAATCTAAATCGGAAATATGCTTTTTAAATTCAAATACTCTCAAAGTCCAAGGGTTTAAAAACATCAAAAAAAGTTAAATTAATCTTCTAGGTTCACCTTTAAGCAGTTTTTCCAACTGTGAGGTGTTCGTGGAAAAATTTTTCGAAGGCTTATCAGGACTTGAAACTATTTTAAACGAAATTCCTTCACACCAGAGCTTTTTTCTTTTAAAAAAATATTTATTTTTACCAAAGATTGTACATATTTTTAGATCTTCTTCCTTTTTTTTAAATAATGAAATTATTAATCGTGTTCATGAATTTTTTAGAAGTTTATTAGAAAATATTTTAAATATTAAATTGGAAGATTTTAATTGGGGTTTCTCACAATTACCCTCGAAAATGGGTGGTTTAGATTTATATCCTTTAAACCTTCTATCTCTTTCCTCATTTTTGGCATCACGTTTGATGAATAACGCCATGATATCTTCTTTTATCTCTCTTAAAGATAACCTTTTAAACTCAGCCTTGACAGCCTGGGTATCTTTAGCTCCACCTGAAGCTCTCTTACCCACGATCTTAACACACCAATCTATTTTCGAACCATTAATAAAAAAATTTTTTAAATAATCTCATCAAACCCCCCTTTGGAGTATATTCAACTATTACAGAATGCTGACTGTACTAGTGGTTATGAATGGTTGGAAGCATTACCAAGTCGTAACCTAGGTAACCTCTTATCAGATGAACAATTAAGAGTTGCCATAGGCCATCGACTTGGATGTAACATTGTTCAAACACATTCATGCATCAAATGTAAAACATTAGTTGACTCCAAAGGGAGACATGGTCTAAATTGTATATATAGTCAAGGCAGGCATGCAAGGCATGCAGCAATTAATTTAGCTATTAGCCGTTCTCTTACCAGGGCCCGAATACCAAACATCCTGGAGCCTACAAATTTATCGTTAGGTGATGGCTTAAGACCTGATGGCTTAACTTCCGTGCCTTGGTCATTAGGGAAATCCTTAATTTGGGACTTCACATGCGTATCTTCTTTCCCAAAAAATTTAAATTCTAATCCGGTTGATATAGCCGAGAAAAAAAAACAATGAAATATTCCAAATTCACAAATTATATTTTTACACCGATTGTTATCTCTTCCCTTGGACATATGCCAAGTGGAACTTTAAAGTTTTTAAAAAATATAGGGGATAAGATAAGAGCCCTTACATCAGAACCTAAAGAATTTTATTTTATAAAACAAAACCTTCAAATCACAATTTTAAAATATAATTACGCATGTTTTTTGGGAACTTGTAGTCCCACCTCGGTTTTTATATAATATTGTTTTATTTTATTTTATATTTGATGTGAGAAAACTATATATTAAAAAATTTTTAAATAAAAGAAAAATCAATTGAAAAAAAAATAAAAAAAAAATATATGTTTGTTTTCCTAAACTCGTAATTCTATTTCTTTTAGAGAATAACCTTTTTGATATTTTATTTTTTTTAAATTAACATAATATAGTAATTAAAATGTTCTTCTGATTAAAAAAATTTTTAAGAAATAATATTGCTTTAGAAGATTTGTTTTTAAATTTTTTCAGTTTTGTAAGATTTGGCCACAATAAATAAAATATAATTTCAAGGTAACTTTATTTTATATGAAATTTTAGTAAAATTTATTTTTTAGTCTTTATTACAAATTAATCAATGTCTTAAAATCTATAAATTTTTTTTGTAAATAAATAAATTTACTTAAATAATGTAAAAATAAAATATTCTGATCTATATAAAATAAATTAAATTTTTTCCCTATATGAACTTATTTTACTTTTCATAAAAATCACTAATATATAAAAAAAATGTTAGCGCCTTATTTAATAATATTATTATTAGCAACATTATCTTATCTTCCTAGCGGTAATTATTACTTTTTATATTAACCAATTTTTATAATTGAATGAGATGAGGTCTGTATTTTAGTATTTTTTAACACTATCTACTCTCCCTTTCAGGGTAATGGGGAAAAAAAAATTGATTTCTAAATCACGCCCCCTCAAAATTTATATTTTTCTAAATCACGCCACCTCAAAAAAATTATATTTTTCTAAACCCCTTCACACCTGATCTAATTATATTTACGACTTTATAAATTTAATTGAAATGTTTTTATATAATAATAGTTATGTTTATATTCAAGAATAGTGAATAATATAATTGTTTTGGAAATCATTTATAATCATGTGGGAGCCAAAATTTTCTGAAAATGATAAATTGGAGGGGATATTTTATTTAGAACAATGTGAAATTTTGGTAGATTGTGGAAATAAATACCTTTTCCCCTGTACATCCAAATATTTATATTGAAGCTTTGTTTTTTTATACTTTCATTAGAATTTATTCTTAAACCAATGATAAGCTCTCAAAAATCTGAATATAATATTTATTCTACATTATTTACTAAAATCTAACGTAGTACCATTATCACCTATATTGGGGAGATTCCCTATCTAACCACATATATGTATTTAAATCTAGATCATCTTATATTATTAAGTCTGAGAGTTTTTTTTATTATGCTTTAATCAACATTTCTCTCGTTTTTGATTAATAATAGCATCGGTCATTATTATAATAATAATCAAATGAATATTAAGATTGATATAAATGCAAATTTTTATTAATATTACAACATTCGTTGAAAAACACAATCTATGATTCGGAACTTACTATACTTATTTAATTTTTTTTAAAATTATTAACGATTTTGAAGTTTGATCCGCCTTTGAGCCACGCCTAATTAATGTATTTTCTAGAGACGGTTCTGTTTGCATGTTCTAATATGTTATGGTCTTCCCCGGATCCAATGGGAAAAAAATTCGGGCCGGCCAATACTCATTTTATAATTTTGTCGTCTACCGCAATCTTAAAAGGGACAACTTTTTTGCATATAAGTTAATTTGAGACCACCTATATAAATTTGTTAATTAGCAGAAAAGAGTTATAATAAAAATATTAAAATTTTTTGACCAAGGACCATCTTGCACCATGCATGTCACTGGTATAAATAGTATTTTAAACAATCCCATTAATCATTCTTTTTAGAATAATCTAAATTTATATTTTATCACAGGAGAAGCCGATGCAGGGCTTAGAAGCGCCCGATTTGAAAGTAATGCCATTGGATATCATGGTAAGTGTTATAATCAAATATATTATTAAAAACATTTTCTTTAGGAATTGAAAATTTGTGTGCCACTAGATGTCAAAATTCTTTCAATTACCGATGTAATATTTGCCGACTGAACCCACAAAAATAATTAAAATAATAACATGAATTTGTTAAAAGTTATAATATTATAATATAATAAAATCATTTTTTATTAAATGTAATTCATAATAATTTAATTTACGATAATATTATACATACGATTTATAATTATATATTAAATAATAATTATATATTGAATTTTTTATTGTGGGTGATTATAAAATATTATAATATCATGCATGAAAATAACTCAAAATTGAGAGTGTTCTAACGAGGAAAAATTAATATATTTAAATCTAGTTTTTATTTATAAATTTAGTGGAAATTAATCAATTAAAATCCACTTCTAACTCAAAAATCTTAAAAATGTCAAATTCTAGACGAGATACCTTAATATTCAATATTAATTAGAATAACAAGACTGTATAAAATTCCACAATTAAATTTAATTGAGCCAGTTACACAAATTACGAAAAATACATATAATATGGTTTTTAAAATCCTATATGATAGTTTTTAAAATCCTATATGATAGTTTTTAAAATCCTATATAATAGTTTTATATGGGCCTATAAAAACTTGTTTTAAAAAATATTTAAGCCTGGCCTAAAATTTTTTTATTAAAAATACCAGGGCCTAGCCGAATATAGTAAATCGTCATTATTATATATAAAAATTAAAAATAATTTATATATTTTTTAAAACACATATTAATGTGGGTTTTTATTTAAACCTTTGATTTAATAAATGATTCATTTTGGTTAGTGCTAACGTCTATGAAATTAACATAGATTTTTATATTTTTATATAGCTTATCCTTTTATTGTAAATTGCATACGTTTTTAAATCGTAAATATATTATATATGTTGTATTGGGATATGGAATCATGTGGGATTCGGAATCCCAACGTGGGGATTCAAGATCTTGAATCTCCACGTTTTATTAGGGATCTTTTTAAAAAAATATTTAAAAAATATTCCGAATCCCCATAAAAAAAATAAAATATAATTACTTTTTCTTCTCTTTTTTTGCGGCTGGCACCATATAATTAAAAGGCCAAAATAAGGGATTTAAAAAGAGAATTTAAAAAAAAGTAAATAGTATAAAATTAAGGCATATAATAAATAAGGGATGAGGTTAAGACATTTTTGTTTTAAAAAATATTAATTACTTTTTCTTCTCTTTTTTTGCAGCTGGCACCATATAATTAAAATGCCAAAATAAGGGATTTAATAAGAGAATTTAAAATAGTATAAAATTAAGAAATATAATGAATGAAAAGGGATGAGGTTAAGACTTTTTTGTTTTAAAAAATATATTTATAAAAAATCCGAATTATTGCAACAATTATTCAATGCAATATGGCATTTCGTTGAACATTTAAGCAGGAACCGATAACGGTTCAGTTTGGTTATGGTACGGTTTAGTATATAAAAAATTATAATGGTTACGTTTTGGTTACGGTTCTTGAGTAGAAATTTATAAAAAGGTTCCGTTCGGTTCAGCTAATTATAAAGGTTCATTATGGTTAGAAATTTTTTTTTATTGAAGCAACACCATCTTCTAATTTATTTTTATTATAAGCATCTAAAAAAAATATATAAGATTCAAAATAAATTTTTAAATATATTATTTGAACTTATAAGTTATATATTTTCAAGTATAAATGGATTCCTTTTTGTTCGTTGTGACGATAACACAAAAAGCTCTTTCTACAGAAACTTGTGTTGCGGGAACTGCCAGTACTATAACAGCACGTTTATATAATTCTGATTCACATTATTTCCATTTCTAAAATATAAAAACTTAACCGGTTTAACCGTTTTTTATAAAGGTTCTTTTTACTCCTTCAAAAAATAATTATATCGGTTCGGTTACGGTTAGATATTTATAACAAAAAAAAATTTTTTTTAAAAAAATATTTAGGGGATTCGGATTCTCTTTTTTAAAAAAACAATTAAATTATATTTTTTTGCCGCCTGGCTGGCACCAGTTTATTTTTTAGAGATATTTAATATGTATTACTTTGCTTATCGCTTTAACACATATTATAAATCCAAATTTTTACTTAGAAAAAGTAGAATGTCTATTTTTTTTATTTCAATTGTGTACGCCTTTTCTCTAATAGGCGATTGGCTACAGAAAACCTTTTACTAGAAGCCGAATTTGCCAGGGCTGACAAAATTTTACTCTCTAATTTTCTCAAAAAAGGAAATATTTTCTACTTCCAAAACTTCAAAATATTGCCATTGTTATTTGTTTTATTTTTTAAAATTTTATTGATAATATTGATATTGGTATAATTTTTAAAAAATGATAAAACACTAAAATATTAAAACTATATAAAAATATATAAAAATATGTAAAAATATGTAAAAAATATGTAAAAATATGTAAAAATATATAAAATTACTAAATAAAAATATATATTGGTCCTTAGCCTTTTTTAAAAAACATTTTGATAATCTCAACTTAAAATTTGTTCGTTGTTATAAATAATGTAGTTTTAACAATCTCTAAATGAGTCTGACCTTATTTGGCTCAAGATACATAGTATTTTCCATATTTATAATTGATTTTTAAAAAAGGCTAACTTACATCCAGAAAAATAAACCATTATAATTTTATATATACTGAACCGTAACCAAACTGAATCGTTATAAATGTTCGAGTCCCTGCTTAAATGTTCAATGAAATGCCATATTGCATTGAATAATTGTTAATTCGGATTTTTTTATAAATATATTTTTCAATATTTTTTGAAACAAAAATGTCTTAACCTCACCCCTTTTCATTCATTATATGCCTTATATTTATACTATTTGCTTTTTTTTAAATTCTCTTTTTAAATCCCTTATTTTGGCCTTTTAATTATATAGTGCCAGCCGCAAAAAAAGAGAAGAAAAAGTAATTATTTTATTTTCTATTCATGGGGATCGGAATATTTTTTTAAATATTTTTAAAAAAAGATCCCGAATAAAAACATGGGGATTCAAGATCTTGAATCCCCACGTTGGGATTCCGAATCCCACATGATTCCATATCCCAATACGACATATATATATATTGAAAAATAAAAAGTTTAATATTTCTAATAAAAAAAATCGATATTCGCGGAAAAATGATACTTAAATTATAGAAATATTAAATTAGTATTTATAATTAGCAGACATCGATAGCTTCGATTAACCTATCTTGCAATATGTCTATTAAGGCAATGATGAATTGATTTTTTTTAATACCAGAGTATCTTATGTCTTCCATCAATATTATTAATCCAAATTTCTTTATTTCCCAAGTTATATGTTTAGAAATTTTAAATAAATATTCATCTATAAATTATAAAAGAGAATTAGAACCTACCAAGCATATCCTTGCTAGAATTGGCTGAATTTTTGAAATGCGATGCCTCATAGTTAATTCAAACCTATATAACACCGAAGACTGCTAGACATCTATCGCATATGCAAAACCTTTCCTATCTTTAGCAAATGAATGCCTAATTAAGACGCTATTTGATCCAACGACTTTTGATTCTTAAACTGGATATATAATCTATATTTTGTGTCAATAAATTGGACCTACTCTGATCGTTTAAAATATATAAATATCTAAAATAAATATATTTATATAAGATATTATCTAAATGCTCTCTTGCTTTGTTTATAAAATAATTTTATCTTTTTCATCTCCATATAACACATACACGGCTAGTCAAATCTGATAAAATCACAGCCCATGTTTCTATTGGATATTTTTTAAAAACCGATTAAAAAAGGGGGTTAGTTGGTAAAAAAAAGTGCACATTAATATACTAACATTTTGTTTAATTCATGATAAAAAAAAATTAATAATATATTTTTTTTAATTTTTTAGTGGGGGCTACATGATGTTCCCTATTTTTTTTTAATCACGCGTCCCCCTTCCCTAAAGTCTTGTTCTTATGAATAAATCAGAAAAAATATTTGTCATAGAAAATTGTTTTGGTCTGAATTAAATTATAATAAATAAATATATCAATTTATTTATGGCAAATTTTATTATTCGTACGAATGATAAGATCAAATACAAATAATAACTTTTCGATTCGTATTCCACCTTGAAGGGAACGATGATGGTTAATAATTTAAAAAAAAATTTGATCATGATTAGAAAATAATATATAGGACATGTGGTTAGTTTTTTTGTACAAAATTATGTTAAATTTTTTATCACAAAGTTACCGAAGATATTTTATAGATATCTAATTGGGAATGACATTAATATTACTATAAAAAAGTTAGAGCGAATTCGCGGCGAAGATTACAAAAATACAGTATATTTTGTATGCATTGCCGCGAATTCGCACTAACTACGAATTCAGGATTAGACTCTAATTATAAAAAATATATTACTGGAATGGTAAAACAAATATTATTCAAGATAATATAAAATTTAATATATGTGATAAGATAGGGAATCTTTCCAATAAGGTGATAGCGACACGTTGATTTCAGTAAATAATGTAGAATAAAATATAATACTAAGATTTATAAAAGCTTATCATTACATTAATAATGAAGTGTTAGAGAGAATATTAAAAAACAACTCTTCAATATAAATATTTTTTGGATTGGGGCAAAGGCATTTCCACATATACTTTACTCATCATTTTAAATATATTATCTCCTTCAATTTATACTTTTCAGAAAATTTTCTGTTCACACATGATTTTGAATGATTTTTTAAGCGAATATATTAGTCACTATTCATAAATATAAAATAATCTTTTTGAGAGGAAGTGATTTAGAAAACATTTTTTTTTACCTGGCGTGAATTTTCTTTCCATTATTGCGAAAGAGAGAGTAGATAGTTATAAAAAATACTAAAATATAGACCTTCAAATACATTCCATTCATAAAAACTGGTTTATATAAAGTAATAATCACCACTAGGAAGAGAAGATAATGTTGTTAGTATTATTAAATATGAAGCTAATATTTTTTATATTTTAGTGATTTATATGAAAAATAAATAAATAGATATAGGAAAAATTTTTAAATTTATTTTTATATAGATCATAATATTTTATTTTTACATTATTTGAAGAAATTTATTTATTTAAAAATAGATGAATTTTTTTATTTGTTGTACAATAATTGACAATAGAAATTTTATAAGCAAAAATCTAATTAATTAAAAA